GAACACAGTGGATGTTTGGTAAACAGAAAAGACAACGCATAAATGTGGAAACAGCAATTCCTCTAGCAAATGTATACACAGCAGAGCTCACCCATCCTGCCTTTTATGTATCTCGCCATGTGGGTGCTGGGAATCGAACCCGGGTCCTCTGCAAGAGCAGTCAGTGCTCTTAACCACTAAGCCATCACTCCAGCCCCTGTAAATTTTTCTTTAAAAAAATTCCTTAGTTCTCCATAATCATCCTCTTTCCAAAAATAAACAACAGAAAACAAAAACCTGGATGCTAAAACAAACAAACATACCTGGATGCTGGGGTACGTAATATACATGCTAAGCAGATTTACCTTCAAACTTAGCCTTAATCTTCTGAAGGCAAATGGTCTTTATAACTCCTTCTTCTGCTCTTGCCACTTTTCCTAAACCACCGCCTTCCTGACTTGCTGCAGGGCCAGGCCAGATTACAGTTATGTGGTAGATCTGTCAGGCAAGTTTTGACAAGGCCTCAAAATAGACCTGGGCAGAAGCCAGGGAAACTGCCACTCACAAGTTCCAGCCTCATCATATTGAGCCTCTCAGTACTTGGTTTTCTCTGGTCTCTCATTTCAAAAGGACAAAGGATACTGGCCCCTCCCCTAGCCATGAATCACTTGCAGAGGTTCAAAATTGTTGGGGGACCCTGCCTTATTAAACCTGCCTTATTCTATCACAAACACTTTGCAGACTAAAATCTGAATCTATACCTACTTCCTGCCTTGACAAAGGAGTTCATCAATAGTACTCTGGATTGCAAAGGGATCTGGGATCTCAAGTTCCACAGAGATTTGTTCTACTGTGAATAGGCAAAATAGGATGTGGAAGAGATGATGAGCTATTAATTTCTCATATGAGTAATATTAGTTGACGTCAACAGGGCAAAAGCTTAAAGTAGGGGCTAGAGAAATGGTTCAGCGGTTAAGAACACTGGCTGTTCTTGCAGAAGACCGGGGTTCAAATCCCAGCACCCACATGGCAGCTAACAACTGTCCGTAACTCCAGTCCCAGGGGATCTGACAGCCTTTTCTGACCTCTGCGGGCATTGCACGACATGGGTGCACTTACCTACATGCAGGCAATACACGTATACACATAAAAAAAAATTTTTTTAAAGCTTAAAATAAATGCTTTTCATGTTTTTTGTTTTCATTTTGAGATAGGGTCTCACTATAATAGGCCTAGAACTTGCAATGTTGACAGGCTGGCCTTCAGTTCAGCGATCTGCCTGCCACTTCCTCTAGAGTGGTAAGATTAAAGATGTGCACACCACATCCAGCTACATGCTTTTGGGTTTGGTTTTTTTTTATGTATATGAGTGTTTTGCCTACATGTATGTAAGTACACCTGTGTCCTGCAATGCCCACAGAGGCCAGCAGAAAGCGTCTGGAGTTACAGATGATTGTTAGCAGCCATATGGATGCTGGGAACCAAACCTGGGTCCTCTACAAGTGCAGCCAGTGCTCTTAACCACTGACCTATCTCTCCAGCCCCAGCTATATGTTTTCAAGTGAAACAAACAAGATACAGCCACTTTTACCAAATATAAATGGTTTATAGGGTCTAGAGAGATGGCTCAGTGGTTAACAGCACTGGCTACTCTGGCAGAGGACCTGGATTCGATTCCCAGCACCCACATGACGACTAACAACCATCTATAACTCCAGTTCCAGGGTATCCAAAGTCCTCCTCTGACCTCTGTGGGCATTGCATGACATGGGTGCACTTACGTACATGCAAGCAACACACTCATACACACACAAAAAAATAAAATATTTTTAAAATAAATGGTTTATGTATGTCAACACCACAATTCAAACTATGCTTCTTTGCACTTTAATCAGTACAAATTAACCATCCGACATGCCAAAATGCCCTAAGTTAACTTCTAAAACACACTTGCAATTTTATTTTATTTATTTATTTATTTATTTTTCATCTTTTTTGAAACAGGGTCTCCCTGTAGTCCCAGCTGGCCTGGCACTCGCTGTATAGACCAGACTAGCCTAAATCTCACCGAGATCCACCTGCCTCTGCCTCCCAAGTGCTGGGGCTAAAGCCATGCATCATAACACCCAGCACAATTTAATTTTTTTAGATAGTGTCTTACTATTCACTATATAGCCCAGGCTGACCTGGCAGGCATGTGCCATGAAGCATAGTTTTTTAAAGAAGATTTTATTTAGGCCGGGTGTGGTGGCACATGCCTTTAATCCCAGCACTCGGGAGGCAGAGGCAGGTGGATGGATCTCTGTGAGTTCAAGGTCAGCCTGGTCTACACAGTGAGTTCCAAGACAAATGGGGCTATAAAGAGACCCTGTCTCAAAAAAAAAAAAAAAAAAAAAAAAAAGATTTTATTTACTTGCTTATTTATTATTTATTTATGTGTATGTGTGTGTGGTGGGGAGTAAATGCACGTGAGTGGAAGTGCTCTCAAATCAGAGGTATCAGATCCTCTGGAGCTGGAGTTACAGACAGTTGTGAGCCACCCAATATGGTTGCTGGGAATTGAACTTGGGTCCTCTGAACAACAGTACCTGCTCTTAACTGCTGAGCCACCTCTTGGACCCTCACAATACTTCCTCAACTGAAGAGATGGGTAAAAAACACAAAGTAATTAAGAAATCTTTTCTCCTCTGGTGATTGAGGAAAAAGTTGACTTCTATTATAAAACAAAGTCCAGTATAAAACTGAATTTTCATAACTTAAGTCCCAATTTCAGTCACACATTCAAAAACACACTCCATATACTTTATTTATTTATTTATTTTGGTCTTTTTGAGACAGGGTCTCCCTGTAGCTCCAGCTATCCTGGAACTCACTAAGTAGACCAGGCTGGCCCATCCGCCTGCCTTTGCTGGGATTAAAGGCGTGCGTCACCATGCCCAGCTTATTATGTATACATATTTATAAACTAGTACAAACGCTTGTCTTACAAGTTTTTCCTTATAGTAGTGCTTATAGAAGACTAAAAACCTAATGTTTATTAGTAGGGAATGGTAAAATTATGGAAAAAGATAAATCTGGTATTTTAAAATAAAATGAGATTGACCTTTGTGCTATTATAGAAATCAAGCGTAAGATGAAAGGTACAGATACTTCTAAACACATGCAACTGTGTACATATCTGAGAATTTGAAAAAAGATACATAAGAAACCATCAATAGTATGGCTTGGCTAGGGAGTGGGAGCACATAAAGGTTAATCGTTTGTGATATTAAGGAAACTTACTTTTCCTCACCGGGTCTCATACAGGCCACTGAACCCATACCACCAGGATTTCCTTCCTCAGATGCCACTTCCTCCCTCTTCCTATCCATTTCTATTTTTACCTATTTCTTTTCCTACCACTAGACTAAAACAAGAACATACTCCGGAAACAAGGCTTAGAGACCACCTAGGAAATAGCAGTCTCTCTATTTTCTCTATCCCAACCACTAGAATAAGTAAATAAGAGAACAAATGGAAAGGTATAGCACATGGTAAGCCCAGCTTGATTTGTTATTGGACAAAAAGTTTCAAAAGTGAAAGTAAAATACCAGGGCTGGAGAGATGGCTCAGCCTTTGTTAAGAGCACGTCTGCTCTTGCAGGGAACTTGGGTTTAGTTCCCAGCACTCACATGGTGGCTAACAACTGTCCATAACTCCAGATCCAGGGTATCAGATGCCCTCTTCTGATCTCTGCAGGCATTCCACAACACAGGTGCACTTACATAAATGCAGGCAATACATTCATATACATACAAAAATAATAAAATGTTTTTAAAAATATTTCAAATGTAATACCAATCACTTCTCAAGATCTCCTTCTGGAAAATGGAGAAAAGTACTAAGTTATTTTACTCAAAGGTAAACTCTGCTCAATTCCTTTCCTTCTAAAGTTTAAAAGCTGGGCTTTTAATGCTGGTCAGAGTCTATTCTTCATTTGCAAACTAGATAAGGTACTGTGATTTCTCAGTTAAGAGCTCATTTCCCCATTCAGACTCTCAGAGGCAGCAACTACCTAGTAGGAAACAGCTGTGGGCTATGGCCTGTCCTGTAGGTGCAATGGACCGCACGCCCAGGACAAGGACAACACCTGTGGGCTATGGCCTGTCCTGTAGGTGCAATGGACAGCACGCCTAGGACAAGGGCAGAAGAACTGTGTTTCCCTTTTAAAAAATCCTCATCAATGCTCCCAACCATGCTGTAAGACTTTCCCTTTCCCCTCTCCATCATCACCTCTAGATCCATCTGGTCCTTTCCACTCTAAGAGCAAAATAAGCAACTCCCAAAGATCTTTGCAAGAAATTGTTTCCCCATCTTCCTTAAAAAACTGTTTTGTTTTGCAAGTGAGCAATGTCTTGCCAAATATGTTTTCTATCTTTATCCCTTCATTATAGGGATGCTTAAATCCTAACCTAAAAAGATTTCCTTTCTGTATTTATGTATCAAGACTGTCACTTAATGGTGGTTTCCACAAGGGATTTTCCAAAAAGGGAATCTCTGTTTACAAGGAACAGAAACTCTGAAGTGGTTAGTCTATCAGCTGGACTAAGATCAAAAGCAGCATTAGGGAACACTCCGAATATAAGGACATCCAAGATGCCAACATTTAGTCCAAGAATTAAAGGAATGTCTATCTTAACACCAATAGAGCACACTTGCCATTCCTCAAAACTAATCAAAAGCACTTCTTTATAACTGCCAATCAAGGTAAAATAAGCTGGACTCTAAAAAGAAGGAAAAGGAAAAACAAGCTTATAAATATCAAGAACTCTGGGACTAAATGATCAAATTACATCGCAGTAATAAAAAGTTATTTCTAGTTTGAAATTAGTCAATTCTAAAAATAACCCAAAACTTTCAATACACAATTCCTTCTATAACAGAAGTTAGTATAGTCTCACTCTACATTTTTAAGGATAGACTGGCAGCATGCTAATCAAAGGTGCCTTAGTATAGATTTTGTATAAGTACTTTTTCCGTACCTTAGTGATGGTAGTTCTCCTTTCCACTTTCATTTATTTGGCTTCTAACCCCTTTATTTATCTTCCTGCATCTGGTTAAAAAAAAAGAGGGGGGGGGACTTAAAAATCACAACAATTCACTCAGTAGCTAAATCAAAACATTCTGCAAATTTTAAATTTGTATTTCCTTACCATACTGCATGACAATAACCACCCAGCGACTAATCTAACAAAACATTATACAATACTTACTCTAAAATGAGTAAAATCGTCTAATTAAACAGGCAGAAACAGCTTTCCTCTATTTCAATCCGAAGATCTGTATCAATGATTCACACAAAGACTGACCCAACTTCCTACATGAATCACACTTTCCGAAATTCTTATTCGGTATGAGTGTATCCACTACTAGGTCATCATTGCTCTGTATTTGTTAAACAGAGCATGATCTTGGTTAAATAGGGTTCACTCAGCAAGACTTTCAAACCATGACAAATTTGGCAACCAACTCTACTTGGAAAACTATGCATTTTCCAGTAACTGCACCTTTTCAGATCTATTCATCCCCCATATAAAATACTGTGGGAAAAAGGTTAAACACCGATTAAGAATGAATCTACCCATACCCAGTGTTCCAGCTCCTCGTTCCATTACCGCATCTCTTCACATTGCGATAACATAAAACAATTACTAGTCACTCTGTTATCCTTACAGAGCATTTTGAGTCAACCTACTGTAGAAAAACTCTTTCTGGCAGAAATGCTGAGTCACTAAATGGAAATTCAAAGAAAAAGAGCTGCAACTAATTAAGTATAGGATACCCTTGAATCAGGTTTCGGCACTGTGGCATGTGTATCTCTTGAGGTGAAAAATAAACACATAAAGCGAATACTTGAACTTTTTTCCCCGAGTTCTCTTACGTCTTCCTGCTGGATAGCCACTGCCCAAAGGCCTGAGTGGAGCTGCAGAACTCCACTATCTGGCTGTGAAGCACACCCAGTGTTGGGCAAGCATTAACCCCGACGGTCCCAGCAGGCATCTGTGGAGCCCGCGTTTCAGTTCAGATCAGAAGGAAGCAGGAGGGAAGGGAAAAGAATCACATAAAACAACTACGCCCTCCGCCCGCCCGTCCCGGCTCCGGTGAAGTCTCCTCCAGGGGCGGAGAGGAGCGAGCGTGACGCCTGCAGCGGCCGGAGCCACAGCTGTCGGCCGAGATGCCCGCTCCAATGGGCGTAACCGGGGCTTCCCCGAGCTGGGGGCGGGAGATGCGGGAGATGATGCGGGAGACGCAGGGGGGCGGCAGCCAGACCACCCCACCCGAGCGGTCCCGGACCCCGCCGCGCCCCTTCCGCCCGCCGCGCCCGTCCGGCCTCACCTGTCTGTGGCGCGGGCTGAGGCTGCGACGCCGCCCAGAAGGGCCGGAGCAGCAGCCGCGGAGCCCGGAGAAGGGCGAGGGCGCGGCGGCAACCCTCGGCGTCCGCACCGTGCTCCGGGAGGAGGGCCGCACGGATGCACAGGGGCTTCTCCAGCCGGCGGCCGCTCGACCGTCACACACCCGAGCTGCCCTTCGCGCCGCGGCCCGGACAGCGCGCACGCAACCCGGGATGAGCCGCAGCCGGAGCGGCGGCGGCGGCGGCGGCGGCAGCGGCGGCGGCGGCCTCCGCGGGAGGCAAGGAAGCTGCGACTGGCCCCAACGACTCCTAGAGGTTGGCGGAGAGGCGCGAGCAAGCGAGTAGAGACCCCCAGAGCGAGCGAGAGGTTCGGAGCGCAGTGGACGCGCCTGCTGCCCGGCGCCGCGGGGGTCGCATGGGGTGGCGGGGCGGGTGGCCGGGCCGGGTCCTGAGACTTGGAACCCGAGCCCTGCATGGCTGCATCTTAACCTGGTCGCCCCTGAAGCGTAGGGAGGGTGGGCTTGGGTCTTGAGGCACCTGCTCCGACACCCGGAGCTGCTGTGGAGGGTGGGCGTGGCAGGACCGCCACTGGCCTTGTTGCCTAGAAGAACCTGCCAGATTGTAAAATGATTTCCAGCTGAGGATGTATGTAGGTCATACATACATGGTAGGGGGCTTACTTAGCGTGTACTTAGCCCTGGGTTCCATCCCTAGCACAAAACAAGGTGGGGTGTCATCCAGCTATCCTCGATAATCTGGAACCTGGTGCAGCTTAGTGACACCGCCCCCCCCCCCCAAAAAAAAGTCGCAGACTTGTGGTTCATCCCAAAGAATTGTAGAAGCCCAGCAGGTTCAAGGTTCAGGGCACTAGGAAACCAAATCTTGCTCTTGGGAAATTTACCCTCTAATCGCATAGATACATTTAAGAGATAAACCAGGTAATGACAGATTGTAGTGAAACTCAGCAGCAACCAATGATGAGATTTTGTGGGCGAGGTCTCTGGCTGGGTACGATGTCAGAGAAGACCTCTGGGAGGAAGTGATAGTTGAGCAGGTTCTTGAAAAAGGCATGAAATACACTCCTCAACACAACTTGATCACCAAGGAGTGCAAGCTTCAGAAACCTATGAATAAGCCCACAGATTCCATGCTAGGACCCTTCTTTAAAGGCTTAGTGGGCTGCCCACACCCACTGCAGTTTTAAAGACTTGATCACCTTTAGAGTTCATGGGGCTGGCACTGTGGCATCAGTACTGGGGGTTAAGCAGACAGGGAAAAGGGTACCTGAGAGAAAAATTGTGAGAGA